AGGGTGTCTCACTGAACTCACCTAGGGGTGGAACCTTTGGATAAAAAACAAGAATTTAGCTGCTTAGCCATATATGCATTAAATGCACAAGACAAGGTGACAATAGAGTCAAGCTAAGCTAATCTTATCCACATTTTCTCCCTTTTGTAGATAGAAAATTGAGCAGAATTATCTTCAATTCTTTACCGGTACAATAAGGTTAGAAGGGGGGATGTTCCCTGGTAGGGTGCTGAAGTTGACTCCAACTCTTCCCTCTTGATGGGCTGCCAGTTTAGGATCATCCTCATCATCCAGGGAGATGCGGGAAAGGGTCCCAGTGATGGTAGCTGGGTTGCAGGTGTTCACCTCCTTGAAAATGACTAGAGGGAGATGTGGGAGACACAAGAAGCCAGGAAGCCAGCAAGAGAATGGAAAATAGACATAGAATAGGGATGCAGGAGTTAGGGTAGTTGGTGAAAGGGAAAAAAGAAGCAGACGTGAAAAGATTATGGATGGGATTAAATGAATATTTGCAGTGAGAAAGAGGAATGGATATTGATTGGATTGATTTGATACAATTCATGCCAAAAAGAAGACAGCTGACAGAGAGGTAGCCAAAGGAGAGATATAATATATAAATAAGGCAGTGATATTAAAGTTTGTTTGCAGCTTTGATGTTGTTGTGAGACAGAATGCATTTCCAGGGAAATGTTTCACCTCTTAATTTGGGCTTTGCAGTAACTAAGATGGATTTTGTCTCTGCCACTGTGACCTTGCTCCATCTTTCCGCATTTGCCAGTGAGCCAGGATTTTTATTAGCTTGGAGAAAGCACCTTGGTATAAAATGCTGTGTGCTGCAAATGAAACAATGCCAAACTCTCTCACTACTGAGTTCTGTCCTATATCTTGCTCAACAGCTTAGTACTCCTATATCACTGGGAGTGTGTATTTATGTGCTTTAACATATGTGCATCAGTCTATATTTCTTCAGGAACGGCTGTATTAATTTCATAATACCATAAATAAAACAGACCGTTAAGCTACTTACAGTGGCTTTGGGTTTGCTTTCATGCATGGCTTTGGAAAAAAGCAGACGCTGAACATTTCTAAAACAACTACTCCAAAATGAACTATGACATGCTGATGAGAGAATGTTTAATAGCAACGAACATCAATCTATCATCACAAATCAAATCATCTGGAAGTTCATGCTGGGCATCATGCGCATTCTGTCACCACCAGACAAACTAATATTTTCTCTGTGGCTCTATATTCCAATCCTAGACCAAAGCATGGTGTGTTTTAAAGTGAACTGTACTCGTATGACAAAATGTCAGGCTATACGCTTGATCAAAAATTGAGACTGGATACTCTTGAGTGTGAGCCTACCAGCAAGAACACTGGCTGAGTACGGAGACTAGTATTTTCTCTGTTTCGCCAACTTGCTGATGCCAAATGATGTGAAATGACTAGATGGATTGCGGGAAATCTGACCAATCTGAACCCTTCATATCTGTGTCCAACAGTGGAGGCACATTGAATGACCTATAGACAGATCCATGTTTAATTTGCTGTACTTTCAAGCACTATGACTGTGGTGGTAGTAAAACAGAATACATAACAGTGAAAGCAGAGATGTTTGAATTAATCATGTTTAGAAGTCAATGTCTTGGAGAGGCGACATACTCTGTGTGAAAATTAAAGTTATCTATCAGTTTTAAACACAAGAATTCACCAGACAGCTGTCTGATTTCCACAGTCTGGGTGTGAAAATGCTATGTAGAGAAACTCAAAAATAACTGATTAGCTCATGATTTAAATAATCAAACTTCATGATTGCTTTCATTGTGAAAAAATGCATAATTTAATAAACCCTAAACATAAAAAAACAGAAATTTCTGACAAAAAATCCAGCTAGCAAGTCACTAGTAACTCTCAAAATACAGCAAGGTCCTAAAACTACTGTACATCTTGACACGGGGCTATAAGATGAAGGATGATTCATTAGTCTAACCATATGTAGACCACAACTGTATGCAGTAAATCTGGGGGTGTTTAGGCAGTTGCATGCTTTGCCTGTTTGGTAGCCCAGCCTTGCATGAAGTCATGGCTTTTAAGTTCTTTTGGTTTTATCATTGAAGTTTCTTGTTGGAGTAGCTTATAACAGTACAGGCCAGAAAAGACTGAAAAATGTTTTAGATTATGCAGTAGTCGCATTTGATGACTTGATTTGTTAAAGGTTTAATGTATTTTATTTGGATTTACAATTACACTGCATTAAAAAGTTTTGGCACACTTTCCCATTCAATTAAGTTGGAAAGTTGTTCTGACTGGTAGTATAAGGTCACCACAGTAATGGCAGCTTGCTTATAATTACAGCCTGGATTTGTTTATAGGAATTATTGAAGTCTATGGAAGGACCAGGCAGTGTTAACGTCAATGAGGAGCATAACTTACATGGGTGTCCTCTCTCTGCAAGGGTGGAGGGGGAAAGTGACTTCATGTTAATATTTCAAAACAACACAAACTAGACTGTGGTACATTTATATAATTTCAACAGCTATGCACACACCACCATTGTCACCAGTGAGTGAAACAGGTCTGATCACACTGAATGTTATTATCACACACAATTAAACACAGTCTCTTCCAAACATATGCTTGCTGAACACTGATTGGGCAGAATCTGTGTGGTTGATAATGCATAATAATATGTGCATGACTATATTGAGCTTTAGCACATCATTTCCTGCCATTTCATCAACATGCACTGAACTGGGGTAGGGAAGAACTCACCTGTTTGACATGCCAAGTCCACATCCTTCTCAAAATCCGTCTGAGTAAGAGAAGCAGGAAATAGCAGGAAGACAGGAAATACAATGATTGTGTGCAAGTACATTTACTGCATTAAGAGCAGAATAGATCTGATGAGTGATTGGATCATGAATGGTTAATGCTCTTTCCAGAGACTCTGTAGAAAAGGTAGGATCTGTTGCCATGGTAACATTTTACAACTCATCTAATTAGTAATACCTTCTATAAACAGGGTTGTTTTCTTTATAGCAAATTTGTCCAAAGCCAACAAAGAAAACAGAAAATTCTGTGTGAGAGCTACTTTGTTCATGATGTGCATTGGTTCACAACAGCAGATCCAAATAAAGAGATGAATGGAACACTGTGGAGTTTTGCCAGGTACATAATGCTACTGTATGCTTCATTGGTTACCTCACGGTCATCTGAATTGAAATAGGGACAGAAATTTGCACAGCAGCAAAACTATTATCTGCTGTGCCAGTTGAAGCAAAACTTTGCTGTCTTCTCTTCTTAGACTGGAAAAAAAATATAAAGTAATAATAAAAATGCCTTTACAATACAGTCATACATGTGGCCAAAACACAAACATTAACACAGCACTGATTAACTTGCACTCCGTACTCAGATTTTATGTAGATAAAGTTGGCACAAACAAAAATGAAGTTTATTTGCTTTGATTTAAAATTCACTTGAGGGATGCACTATTCCTTGGGGTAAAACAAAACAAAACAAAACAAAAACAAACAAAAAAATGAAACACTATCAAACCCATAAGGCAGATTGTTGCCTTAAGAAATGTAGCCACCACTTAAATTTTCCTAAACTTTAAGGAAAGCTCATTGCTATGCAGTTGTGGTCCTCCATTCTCTCATTGTAGGGCCTCATCCTGTCCTCTGTGGGATTCACTTACAAAAGCCTTTGTTTGGATAATAAACTACAGATCTTAGAGAGTTTGGGCATGTGAGACAGGTGAAGAGGAAAGGAGGAAATGAAAATTTGAAAAAGAGAAGCAGAGAATGTGTAAAGGTCTCAAAGGAATGGAAAAGCTCTTAGTACACAAATCACCTGCAGCACCATAAACGGGTCTCTGCTAAATGAACGAATGAGGATACGAATGAAACCACTCTCTCTTTATCTGAGTCTCTCTCTTGTCCAAACTGAGAAAAACAAATCATTTTTATTTTAACCATTAAGCACTCTCTTTTCAATAGCCTCACAGGTTAAGTACAGTGAGTCATCAACATCAACTGTTTGGTAAAAAGACCATAAATGAACACAGTCCTACTGAAGGAGCTCTGCCTGAACAAGCATAGAACATTCTGGTTGAGGCAACTGCTGAAAATAATAAAAAAGAAACAATAATATACTTTATCTATTAAAAAGACATATTATAAATAAATGTATTTGCTGGAATAAGAGTATACAGCTATTGTAATGATGCAATATGTAATTAAAATAGAAAAAAATTGACACAACTATGACTTTTTTGGTTAAATGAATTTCTTTTTTTGTATTTATTGTTTGTTTAAACTGAGAATTAGATGAGAACGTACCACTCTGACCAATGTACAGTAAAAAGGAGGCTACCACCAATAGTACAGAAAGACTGGCAACAGGGTGAACAGCTAGCCTGGCTCTGACTGAAGCCAACAAAATCTGCCTACCAGAACATCTACGGCTTACTATCATGTTTGTTTAATTTATACAAAAAATGAAGTGTAAAAACAACATTTTGTGATTTTGCAGGGGATATGTGCTAGACTAGTGGTCCCCAACCTTTTTTGTACCAGGGACTGGTTTCATGCATGAAAATTTTTCCGCGGACCGGCGGACCGGGTAGAGGCGCGGGGGTTGCAATAACAAAAACCTTTTTTAGTTCATAGTATGTCATCTGAATGCAATTACACTTTATATTAGGCAATTACAATAATTCTACACTATAATATCAACTCACCATAATGCAGAGTCAGTGGGAGCCCTGGGCTTGTTACCCTGCAACTAGAAAAAAATTCCAAGGGCTTGTCTTTTAACGCAGGGTGTTTTGTCTCAATGTGGCGAAGCATTTTTGAGGGTTCCATAGCTTCATTAGCTAATCGGTCACCGCAAATTATGGAGCTTGCATATCACCTGTTGTGATAAACCCGTAACCTGGGTAGGAATCATGGTATTTTCTTTTAAATGCAGCTTTCTTTTTGCTGGCAGTCTGTGACCCTTCTGCTATCCCATCGTTTGCTGATTCCTTCCCGAAAAAGCTCTCCAGTGAATTTTGTTTTTGGCTCATTTTTTTAAAGGGTTAGTTTGTGTCGCTGATGCGTAAAATGGCGTACCAGACTCAAGTGCGGTAGTGAGGCAAGGATGGAAACAGTCCTTTTTCAAACTAAGACTAATGAAAGAAAATAACTAATTTTAACCACAAAATTTTTTCTTTACGGTCCGATACCAAATGATCCACGGACTGGTACCGGTCCGGGTATACCGAGGGTTGAGGACCCCTGTGCTAGACTGTTTCTTGGCCTGGAGTAGAAACTTCATGAAGTATCTTCCTGGTTCCCTGGTAGCCTCACAAAGACAACAAGATTACAAAAAATCTCTGCACCAAGCCAAGGCACCCTGGTACCCTGTAAAACCCACAATATGTCATTGTGACACTTCAGTTTTTGCTTTAGAGGTACCAGCTTGCTGTTTTCCCATTTCCAGTCCATGCCCCAAGCTAAGCTAACCAACTGCTGCCAGTTGCTTAATTTTTACCAGATAGTCAGAGAGTGGGCTCAATCTTGACATCTAACTCTTTGCAAGAAACAAATAAACATATTTCTCATAATGTCAAACTGTTCCTTTAAAATATTTTTGTATTTGTTGTGGAATATTATTTTACAGATTGCACCTTCTCCCTCTATGCACTTGACTATTATTATGACTTTCTTTTCGACATACTGGTTGGCTGCCAATGTGGTTGTATGTGTGGTTATGATTATGAGCATCGCTGTGCGCATTGTTCAGGATGGCATTATGCTCATGTGCATGGCTGAGGGCGTGGATGTGGTCTAGCCCAGGGCCTTGGTTGCTGCGGGGTAGACTGTGGTAACAGCCTTGTTGGCATGTATGGTGGAAATGGCTGCAGATGGCAACCCAACAGGCACAAGGATGTGCCATAATGCAGAGAGCCACACCGCTGCCCGGGGGACATCACATTAGGATTCTTCTGATATTATAAGAGAAATGAATTGAAAACATGAAAACTTCCTCCCACTGTCCAAAGACGTGCAGCATAGGTTGATTGGCGTCTCTAAATTGTCCGTAGGAGTGATTGTGTGTGTGAGTGGTTGTTAGTCTGCGTGTTGGTCCTGTGATGGACTGGCGACCTGTCCAGGGTGTACCCCGCCTTTTGCACACAGCCGGCTGGGATTGGTTCCAGACCCCTGTGACCCCGTTTGGGACTAAGCAGTATAGAAAATGGATGGATGGATGGATGGAAGTTGAAATGTTAGAGTACAAAGAAGCAGTGTTGGAGAGGAGAGCACTGAGATTTAATCACAGATGACATCATTTTTCTAAAGATGTCTTTGATTCAACTTTGATTCTTATGATGTTTCTAAATACCAAGGGTTTAACAGTGTAATGTGATTTCTCATGAACACAGCAGGAACACCTGAGAGGATGGTTGTTTGCTGTTCATATGATGCTGGTGGCAGCCTCAATAAATTATCCATCGCAATTAATGTTCTCAGGGGTATTCATGCAATTTGTTTGTGCATACTGTGTGTGATTTCTTCCAAGTTGTACATATTCAGACAAGAAACCTGCAGCAAAGAAGGTTTATCAGCTGTCTTTCTTATGTGCAATAGCTGCCACTGCAACCAGCTGACACTGTGAGCTGGGCCTGTGATAATAATACATTTAACCAAAAATTAAGCAAAGTTAGACTGTAGATACTTCTCTCACTTATAAAAACAGAGACAGAGAATGGGTCATAACTGGTTCCATGAACAGAATGATGGCTACTGCAAACAGGTCAGAGGAGAAATAACGAGAACAGAGATGTTAGACTTGCTCATGCTCTAATAGTAGTAATGTGACTGTAATGACATTGGAATGGCAGTTCAAGTCTATATGATTTATTACACTATTAGCCACATACATAACACACACACTGTAACCTTACCAGAGCTCTTCAAATAAAGATGTAGTTTAGAAGTTTAGGTTAAAAGTAAAATAATGTTCTCAAGTGTCTGTTATGCTGATTCATGAAAAGCAGAAGAAAAACAAAATTTCTGGATAACTGAAGTAAGTGCAGTTCAATCAAAAAGAATGTGAAAAATGCAATATTAATTTTAGCAGAATATTGTTTCAGAAATGGTATGTGTCTTCTTATGGCTCTATCGGAAGTTAGTTTCAGGCTGGGAGTAAAACTGCATTTCTGTGAGGAATGAAACCAAATATTTTTGTAAAATATAATGTGAAAATGCATAGACAATAATGAATTCATGTTAAGGAAATAGGAAAGCCAGGTATGAGCATGAACACTTCAGTCATGGCAATCATGCTTCTTTGTATTGGGCTTGAAGCCTCCAGCTTGGTTAATGTTAGTCTGAGGCTAATGGATTGCAACGTGAAATGAAATGGAATGCTATTCACCATGATCTGCACCTGTCCATTCTTGCAGGAGTCTGGTGAGTTTTCGCTGTCATCTTTACATCCCCCCATTCGACAGCGAACTGCATCCTGCACCTGAAAGAAGGGGAATAAGGGATGGGGACAGGGAGGATGAACACAGAGAGAAAAAGTGGGAAAGAATGTTGAGAGGGAGGAGGGAGTGATGCAAAGAAAAGACGTTAGTGGAGAAACTTTTAAGTTAATTTGCTACATGCTGGAGAATGGTGAACTCACTCCTCAGACATATTATATAATTCACTATATCACTGAAATGACAGCTAGTTGGTGAAAATGAAATTATGAATAACTGGCAAAGTAAATGAAAATGCCATTTTCTTCAAAAAGTAGCTCACCTTGTAGCTTACACTCAGTAACAGTCAGTGGAGTGGTATATAAAGCAACCAGCAGTACCTCAAAGTGGTCTGTTTGAGCCTTGTGAGATCAGTGGTGCAAGGGCCTAATTAAAACCAACAGCACAGTATAGAGTTGCTCTAAACCCTGTGCCTTTCCAGTGACATATTGCTTTTCTTTATCCTCCCACATGTAGTATCTACACACAACCTACTGTCAAAGGACCAGTTTTTGTACCACAGCTCAAATCAAATACAGATCCCTGTGCATTATGTTTGACATCCAACTCCAACATTCTTCCCCCCCCCCCATCAGGCTTTGTACTATGGATGTCCTGGTTGCTTGCTGAGGAGCAGCATAAATTCTCAGTGTTACTGCTGTCAAATCCCATAAGAACCTCATGGATGGAAACAAGAGTGCTCCTGGTAGAAATATTGCATGAGCGGAGGAGGGCATCTTCACCTTTGCTGGGTGGTATTATCTATACCTGTGTGTGTTGCTACAAATGGAGTGGATTGCATCCATGTCTGATTAATACTGCATGAGTTACATTATTGCCTCTATTGTTTTGTTTTAGCAGCATTGAGTGTGGTAACTGTTGTTGGGTAAAAACTATTCTTGACTCTATAGCAGTCCTTGATTTGATTACTCTGAACTGTCTACCTGACGGCAGCAATTCAAAGAGTGAACGTCCAGGGTATGAAGGGTCCATAATGATGTTCTGAGCTTTTTTGAGGCAGTGGGAACTGTGCAGTTCTTCCAGAGTGAGGAGAAGGCAGCCGATGATCTCCTGGGCCATATTAATGACCCTCTGGAGCGCTTTCCTCTGAGCCACTGTGCTGCTGCTGCCGCTGTACCATACATATAGTATGTAAGGATGATCTCAATGGAGCACCAATAGAAGGACACCAGCAGTCTCTGGGAGATGTTGTTCTTCCTGAGCACCCATAGGAAGTACAGTCTCTGCTGGGCCTTTTTAAGCAGTCCAGAGGTATTCACATCCCAGGTCAGATCCTTCTTAATGTGGACTCCCAGAAAGCAGAAGGACGGCACCCTCTCCACACGGTCCCCGCTGATATATAGTGGCAAGATGTCGGTTTTCGTCCTCCTGAAGTCGACAATGACCTCCTTAGTCTTTGACGTATTAAGGAGCAGATCGTTCTCAGCTGATTGTTCTCTCTGCATCACACTATCAGCCTCTCCACCTCATCCCTGTAGGCAGTCTCATTCCCCCCAGAGATAAGCCTCACCACCGTGGTGTCATCAACAAATTTTACAATGTGTTGCCATGGTAGGCAGGGGTGCAGTAGTGGGTATACAGGGTGTAGAGCAGGATACTCAGCACACAGCCTTGTGGGAACCCAGTGCTGAGGTTGAGAGCCATGGATGTGTGTGGACCCAACTCTTACCCTCTGGCTGCATCCAGACAGGAAGCTCTTAATCCATGTGCAGGTGGGATAAAGAATTCCCAGGTCCACCAGCTTGTCCACCAGTTTGTGGGGGAGGATGGTGTTCAATGCAGAGCTATAATCCACAAATAGCAACCGTGCATAGCTCTCCTGATGCTCCAAGTGGCACAGCACAGAGTGGAGGGCTGTGGCTACAGTGTCCTTTGTGGATCTATTTGCCCTGTATGCAAACTGGTGTGGGTCAGATGTTGGTGGGAGGAATGACATTATGTGTCCCCATATCAGTTTCTCAAAACACTTCATCACCACTGGAGTGAGTGCAACTGGCCAGTAGTCATTGAGGCTGGTTATGTTGGATTTCTTAGGCAGGGGAACTATGACAGAGGACTTCAGGCAGGGCAGGACAGTGGACTGGGCCAGAGACTGGTTGAAGATCCTGGTAAAGACTCAAGCCAGCTGGTCGGCACAGTCCTCCAACACACGTCCGGGGATGCCATCCGGTCCAGCAGCCTTCCTTGGGTTTACAGCCCGCAGCGTGCACCTCACTTTATATTCCCTTACTGTGAGGGTGGGGCCACTGTGGGCCGCAGGGTGAAGTTTGGTTGTCTGGTTGCTGCCCCTCAAAGTGGGCAAAAAAGAGGTTCGGCTCCTTTGCCAGCAAGGCATTACCTTCAGCTGCACTGAGATTATTCCTGTGGTTGGTAAGATGCTGGACTCCCTGCCACACTTGCCTGCTGTTGTTGATGTCCAGATGGTCATCAATTCTCTTCCTGTAGTCCAAACTGACCTTTCTGATGCCTCTCTTCAGGTTAGCTCGGGTGGCACTGTAGAGAGCCCTGTCGTCTGCCCTGAAGGGAGCGTTCCTCTCTCTCAATAGCTGCTTGACTTCCCAGTTCATCCAGGGCTTCTGGTTGGGGTAGACCCTGATGCATTTGTCCATGGTAACAGTGTCTTTGTAGTTCTTAATATAACACAGGACACTGTCTGTGAACACCTCCAGGTCTGGATGTTCAAAAATGTCCCAGTTGATCCTATCAAAACAGTCCTGTAGCTGCTGAGAGGCACCATTAGGCCAGGTTTTTACAGTCCTTGTGATGGTAGGACCAGTTTTCCTGAGGGGGGCATATGTACAGTATTGTTCAAAATAATAGCAGCACAATGTGACTAACCAGAATAATCCAGGTTTTTAGTATATTTTTTATTGCTGCATGGCAAACAAGTTACCAGTAGGTGCAGTAGATTCTCAGAAAGCAAACAAGACCCAGCATTCATGATATGCACGCTCTTAAGGCTGTGAAATTGGGCAATTAGTTGAAAGGGGTGTGTTCAAAAAAATAGCAGTGTCTGCCGTTGACTGTACAAACACAAAACTATGTTGTACAAACGTTTTTGTTTCTAGGATTTAGCAATCCTGTGAATCACTAAACTAATATTTAGTTGTATGACCACAGTTTGTTATAACTGCTTCACATCTGTGTGGCATGGAGTCAACCAACTTGTGGCACCTTTCAGCTGTTATTACACTCCATGATTCTTTAACAACATTCCACAATTCATTTACATTTCTTGGTTTTGCTTCAGAAACAGCATTTTTGATATCACCCCACAAGTTCTCGATTGGATTAAGGTCCGGGGATTGGGCTGGCCACTCCATAACATTAATTTTGTTGGTTTGGAACCAACACTTTGCTCGTTTACTAGTGTGTTTGGGGTCATTGTCTTGTTGAAACAACCATTTCAAGGGCATGTCCTCTTCAGCATAAGGCAACATGACCTCTTCAAGTATTTTGACATATGCAAACTGATCCATGATCCCTGGTATGCGATAAATAGGCCCAACACCATAGTAGGAGAAACATGCCCATATCATGATGCTTGCACCACCATGCTTCACTGTCTTCACTGTGGCTTGAATTCAGAGTTTGGGGGTCATCTCACAAACTGTCTGTGGCCCTTGGACCCAAAAAGAACAATTTTACTCTCATCAGTCCACAAAATGTTCCTCCATTTGGGGAGTATGTTTTTTAAATCTGCATGATTGAAGTCCCCTGCTAGGATGTGCACAGCATCAGGATATCTGATCTGCTAACTGCTAATACTGCCATATAAATGTCCGATAGCCGAGTTAGCATTATCATCAGGTGGTATGTACAAATTTGTTATGAAGACCACATTGTAGGGCCTGCATTTGGCATTCACATACTCCAAGTCTAGGGAGCAGTGACTGTCTACAGTCACTGTGTTCATACACCAGTTGTTATTGATGTAAATACATAGCCCCCTCCTCTGCTCTTACTGGAGTCCCTTGTGCTATCATGGCGCTGTACTATGCTAACTCGATAGCAGAGTGGATGAAGCCAGGTCTCTGTGATCAGCAGAATGCAACTGTCCTTCATCATGTAATTGGTTGCAACCTGTAGCCTCAAATCATCCATCTTACTAACAAGTGGCCTATGTGGCTGCCTTTGTAGCCTAGGTAATGCTCCAGCCCTGCAGCCTTGCTTCCGCTTCCTCTCCCTGCAGCGCCTTCGCGTCTTTTCCGTGGGGATGGTAAACCACGGAGAACCAGGGCTCCTCCCTATGTCCACTGGTATCCTGTGCGAGCGGAGAAACTCAGATGTAACTCTCTGCTCGTAGAAAGCTCCTATCTTCAGGAGATCATGCCGACTGTAGATTTAGTTCACCCAGCAAAATGTACATAGTATGAAAAACAATACGTACACAAAGCAAAACACCGACTGAAGGAGCACTGAGCCACTGCAACAGTGTGCGCTGCCATCTTGCTCCATATCCAACACATCTGTAACTTTTTTGTTGATTATCATTATAATTTCAACTCATAGTAGATCCAGGATTATAACCAGATGGTAGTGTATACTGTTATATATTGAATATATACTGTATATAATGTGTTTTATGTATAATTTTGACCATATGGAGAGCTCTGCATTTGTCCAGCTAGACTGTCTGTTTTTCATTCAAGATTGACAATGTTGATAACTATTATAATTAGACCACTTGAGTTATTATCTGGTTTTCCAAGCTTTCCTCTTTAGTCACCTGTGGAGAGCAGTGACTACAGGAATACTATGGGGTCCCTGAGGTACCTTGTCTTTGGGATGCTCCATTTTGCTTTCTTTCTCTGGCTCCATACTTCCCATCATCTCCTCCTTCTCATTTTGCTCTTTGTCTGTTTACTCCTTTTGCTCAACCATCTGAAGTAAAATTAATCATTCTCACATCCACACTACATTTAGGTTTCTCAGAGTGAGGACAGTATTATATAAAAAAACACTGAAAGTCAGACTCACACAAACAAACCAGCATTTGTAGATGAATATACAGGGTGATTAGGTCAGCTGGCACGTTGCCTCAGCTACTGTAATAGTTAATAATAATAATTCCAGGTGTCAGGGACCAAGCAGTAAAGCAAAAGACACAGCTTTTAAAGTTCAAAACAATGGGCTTTTTATTAACCCAAAAGTAAGGATAAATACAAACAACATCAATATCAACTAATCTGGACACTAAAAAAGGTCAACAGAATATAAGGAAACTCAAAATACAGCAAACGGGACTGTCTGATACCTCAACAAAAACCAACTGACCTAATAAAAAAAGAAAGTCACTTTCGGCTTTTCCCGTTTAGGGGTCCCGACAGTGAATCGTCACACTGACAACTTGTATGCTGACATTTAGCACATGTTTTACGCCAGATGCCCTTCCTGACGCAACCCTGGCCGCAGCAGCGAGAGCACTGCGCCTTAACCACTAGCCTACCAGGGATGGCAACTGATCTAACAAGACACTACCAAAATAATCAACTAATAAACACTAATCACACAGTCTGCTCACAACTAAATATTTCCTTTAAAAGTGAAGAAATTACCATAACTTGACAAATAAAGTTTTAACATAAACTACCAACAAATAAATAATACATTTCTCCCAAACTCCCCCCTTCCTTGTATTGGGCACTTGGTGTAGTCCAGGCCTAGTGGGAGGTATTTAAACCTGCTGTTTCCTCAGTCCAATCTTTTGGCTGAACCACCCCCATCCATAGACCAGGTAACATGGTAACTCAATTTTTTTTTTTTTACACATATTAACAATACAAAATTAATTAAATCTGCCTACTTTTAGTGATGGCTGATCGAGGCTTTGTTGAAGCAGTATTCACAAAAGTGGTTCATTACTCAAGGCTTCAAGACACAGTGCTTGAGTAGGAAATCTAGTGGTCAATAAAATAAAGTGCAATCATGACGTGTCATCGGTTCATTGATTGTTTGGGATTTGATTCGCCATGCATATTCTTGTTCCACTACACTACATGGTTGTATGATTTCAGGCTGACACAGTAAAATACAAAAAAAACATGAACTCATGTTGAAGACCATATTTCTTATTTGGCATGTCTGATTTTAACCCCATATACCCTTCACTTATATTTTGTGTTATGAAACATTTAAATGGTGCTGCTACATTCATGAGATGTGCTCTACAAATTCAGACAGATGTCATTTTCACATGGGACTGGTGCAAACAGAATATATTATGGGCTTTGGCAAGTATGTTTTGGGGTTCATTGGTAAAGAGGTTCATGGGTATGTGGGTAAAGAGGGTGTGCATGAAGAACAGGGCAGTGGGTGTAACTTTTACTATCTAGCTAGATAGTTACTCTATTCTCTCTCTCTCTCTCTCTCTCTCTCATTCTCTCTCTCTCTCTCTATATATATATCTTATCTATATGTAATATATCTATATATTTATATCTAGATCTAGTGGTATCTAACCATGTAACTCATTTATCTATTTCTCTGTGTAACTTACTATCTAGCGGTCTATTAATCTGTCTCTCTCTATCTACAGTGATTCTCCAGTAACTGTTACTATCTAGCTAGATAGTTACTCTATTCTCTCTCTCTCTCTCTCTCTCTCTCATTCTCTCTCTCTCTCTCTATATATATATCTTATCTATATGTAATATATCTATATATTTATATCTAGATCTAGTGGTATCTAACCATGTAACTCATTTATCTATTTCTCTGTGTAACTTACTATCTAGCGGTCTATTAATCTGTCTCTCTCTATCTACAGTGATTCTCCACTAAATACACAATCTGCTACACTACCAACTCTCAAAGCAACTAACAGCGACAAACCAACCTGCTCTGCAAAGAAAAATTCAATTGAACGCTGCTAAATAGGGATATCCCGCAAAGTGATTCACATGACAATCAGCTGATTTGTATGACGTCTGAGGCACTCAACTGCTTCAAACGTTACTCAAGTGCTTCAAACGTCACAGATCTAGTGGTATCTAACCATGTAACTCATTTATCTATTTCTCTGTGTAACTTACTATCTAGCGGTCTATTAATCTGTCTCTCTCTATCTACAGTGATTCTCCACTAAATACACAATCTGCTACACTACCAACTCTCAAAGCAACTAACAGCGACAAACCAACCTGCTCTGCAAAGAAAAATTCAATTGAACGCTGCTAAATAGGGATATCCCGCAAAGTGATTCACATGACAATCAGCTGATTTGTATGACGTCTGAGGCACTCAACTGCTTCAAACGTTACTCAAGTGCTTCAAACGTCACTAGTGACGTGGCCAACACATGCCTCAGCACAGTGGTTGATACAATTACTTCTTGAGCTACTGTGCATGTGTCGGAGCCTCAGGTGTCATCACTACCTGCTCATTGATCAGTTGTGTATGTCTAATATCAAACAATACCTAACCTTTACCTATAACCTAAACTACACACATGAACAAAAAAAACAAAGAAATTACCCAACCAAGTCCATTGCTGGTGGTGGTTTTGGCCCTCACATGGTGAAGGCCTAAACTGAGGCCTTCACACCAGGAAAATACTTTCTGTTAGGTATTTTTTAGTCAGATAGATATTGGTTAGATACTTGTTGTATTAGAAATGTTTAGTGGAGACAGGATGTCTAGTTTAAACGCTTAGTCATTGTCATGAGATTTTAGCAGGGTGTACGTGGGCAAGGATAACTAGATAGAAAAGTTTGATTGTCAGCAGGCAGGATGATTGTTATTATTATGATATGTTTAGCCGTAATCTTAATCATAATATCGTCCTAGGCTTAATGTCCGGACATGTCCCTGAATGTCCTGTATGTTCTTAGATACACACCACTTAATCAACACTCACACACATTGATTTTCTCCATGTTTTGACTACTGCTACGGTCAGCTGTAAAGCTGGCATATCAGGTGACATCACGGTTTGACGTGCCTGTGTAGAATGAGGTTAGCCCAAACCAGATATAATGTACAGGCCTGTTGGGTTCGGGGTCTTTCATTCTTCATCTGCCTGCGCGCAGTATTGGAGGTGGAAGATACCTGGACGTGTAATGTTAATTTTGCCTGTGATCCTTTGAATAAACCAGCACGGTTTTTTGTATCCAAGTGGACTGCCTCGTCTCTCTGAGTTCCTGGTTAAGAGAACTGGGAAAAATAGCTTTCACTGCGTTTATTTTCAATCAAAAGTATTCATGTAAAAATATGTTTATTTGGAAAAAAAAGTGGGGTGAGTGCAAAGTTAACATGACCCACAGAAATCACATTTATGAGAAGTATAGAAAGTCACTTTCGGCTTTTCTCGTTTAGGGGTCGCCACAGCGAATCGTCACACTGACGACTTGCATACTGACATTTGGCACATGTTTTACGCCGGATGCCCTTTCTGACGCGACCCTGATTCGAACCCAGGTCACAGTGGGGAGAGCGCTGCGCCTTAACCACTAGCCTACCAGGGATGGCTGTTTATGAGAAGCATACCTAAATAAACCAGAATTATCCTTTAACTAAATCCCTCCCTCACTGTTTCTCACAGCAGAAGTTCTTCACATCTCCCCCTTGCTTTCTTCTCCTGCTGCCTCCTAATCACAACAGCTTTAATGTCACAGATGTTCATTGGTTGCCTCTCCTCAACTGACCTCAGCCACCTGTGCCACAGAGGCCCTTTCATTCACAATGTGGCAGGTGCTGTCGAAAAATGCTACACAACAATATGCTCTCTAGCTTGTTTTGTATTTGTAGTTTACTTCACATATTATCATACTTCGTACTGCCTTCTCTCTTTTGCACTGCAATACATTCTCGTCCTTGTTCCCCTCCTCCCCTTTTCCGCCAACATGACACTCCCCTCTGCTTGTTGTTCTGTAGCTATGATGAATAGCTCAGTCTCTAGCAGGGGATTTTCATACATTTACAATAAATAATTCCTATATTTACTGATCCCTGCCTCTTTTGTGATATTGATTTAATGCCAACTAAGCAGTTTGAGCATTGAAAAATTCACTTACAGTAGGCACCGCATCAATACCATAATGATCTCTTCATTATAGGCAAGGCTGTATGTGGTATACATGTATCAGCAACAAAAGCTATATCTACAGTTATGGAAAACTGATGACATTGTAAATCTAATAATTGTAGCTAGTGTAACTGTGAGTTACCCCATAGCAATTTGAGTGTGTGTGTGTGTGTGTCAGTGTGTGTAAATGTCTGTCTCAAGGGCATGAATACATGTATGTGGATAATGAGTTTATAATTCAGCACCCTGGAGGCACAGTAAAGCCTGTGGAAAATATGCACTAAGGGGTATTAGTTTGGGACTTATTGTTTTATTCCGTACAGCATCTTAGTAAGGTCCTTAAAGCAGCTTTGGATCAGATGGACAATACGGCATTATCATACTGCATTATGAGAAGCACTCAACCTGTGGACTTCACAAATCTGCTTAGCAGGAGGAGGCATCTGGACTCACCTCTCGGCGCATGGCACAGTGGACGGTGATGATGACGAAACCTTGCACAGAGTCAAAAACGGCAAAGAGGACCTGGAGGAGACAAGTCACATCTGACTGTAAGCTGTTGCATGTTGGAAAATTTTTGCAGTGATTGCCAAACATTTAAAACTATATCAACCCAGCATAGCAATTTATTTTATACCCACCATGCCTCCATTTAGACACAGGATTACTGTATATCAACTATTAAGTTTAAGAATAGTCTCAGTCATGAAAGAAGTGAACTACATAATGTTGCTGTGCAGATTTGCTGATCTTAATCCTGCTGTGGGTTTATTGCCTTTTGTCTGTTTTGAATTGTTTTAAATGTAATAACAATATAAGAATTTAGTTAATGTAAAGTGCTTTGAAAGTGTCTAAAACTATGGGCACCACTGAATTACTACATACAGTACAGTATATCCTGTATTAATGTAATACTGTTGTGAAATGACTCAGTAATCATGAGAGAAACACTGACATAGGAATGAAATGAGTCAGCTGAGCCATGTTTATTTATAATAGGTCATCACAGTGATCACTGTGAATTATTCAGAAGGTTGTTCTTTAAAATAATATTTTCACATTTGTCCTTAATCAGTTTGTCATCATTTTGTCTTCATGGGCAAATGTGATAAAATGTCAGCGCTCTCTCTTTGCAACATTTTAAAACTGCTTTCTCATGATAATGGGTCTGTTAGCCTCACTGTGTGAACATCTGCTGGTGTTATGAGACACATCACCTGGAAAAGCGTGGAGTGCCGGTCGGTTATGGCCAGCACTGCTGACATCCAGGTTAATGCTAACAGAGGAAGAACGACACAGGAGCTCCACAGAGATGCCCTGTGGGAGAAAAAGAAGGAGGCAGGTGGGGGAGAAGGAACAAAGGGTTCAGCCTCAAACCAGACAGAACTGCTCTGTTAAGTCACACAAGTCCACCTCTCTTTCTCTCACACACCCACACGCACACACACCAGTCATAGGTTCAGTGGTGGGCAATTGTGAAGTTGATTGGCACATAGAGGTTTGCAGTAGACTTAATATTCCATCTGAGAATTGGAAGATGGTGTGTAATCATGTAGATAGTTAAGAGACAATTGCTCACAATTACATGGTAGATGCACAGAAAGTACCATGCCTGGCAGGCTGTGAGATGATGGGTAGAGGCCCGAGGGGGTTGGGGGGGGGGGGGGCAGGCTATTGACGAGCAATGACACTGGGGCTGCTAAGGAGTAATTGTGTGTGTGTGCATCTATGTCTTTAACTCTACGGAGCACACACCAATTTGAAATGTTCATGCTATTTGAGCACATATTCATGGTTATATAACCATGAGTCTGACAGATGGACAGATCTGTGAAACTACACTGACAAATATGCACGCCAATGTAGACGTGCATGGCCAAAGATGATTTAAAGAGGCTAAAGAACAATAAATCCAAAACTATGCTGTCCTGTCCTCTTGTTAATGTGTTAACTTTCCAGTCATTGTGCACTGTAGCTTCTAACCAGATAATACACTTCAATAACAATAAAAACAGCAACGAACATACACTCACCAGCCACTTTATTAGGTACACCTGTACAACTGTACACTTAAATGCAATATTTCCACCTTAACATCTGTGTTTATGAAGGTCAAAATATTATGCTTTTTGGTGAAATTGTCATAAATGTATAAATTCAATTATATATTTATTATTAAGGTCATAGTTAAAAGTGCTGTTGCACTGGACTGCATTATATTTGGAGGTGTTCCTAATATTCGGACCCTCTCATATATGTCGCTGGGGAGTACAAAAATATAGTCCAGTACAACACCACATTTAACTATGAAAGTGCTACAAAGCCATTTGGGAGAAAAAAAATATGTCGCAATTTCCATCCATCCATCCATTTTCCTCCGCTTATCCGGAACCGGGTCGCGGGGGCAGTAGTCTAAGCAAAGATGTCCAGACTTCCCTCTCTCCAGACACTTCCTCCAGCTCCTCCGGGGGAATGACGAGGCGTTCCCAGGCCAGCTGAGAGACATAGTTCCTCCATCGTGTCCTGGGTCTTCCCCGGGGCCTCCTCCCGGTGGGACATGCCCGGAACACCTTCCTAGGAAGGCGCCCAGGAGGCATCCGAAACAGATGCCCGAGTCACCTCAGCTGGCTCCTCAGCGGTTCTACTCTGAGCTCCTCCCGGTTGACCGAGCTCCTCACCCTATCTCTAAGGGTGCGCCCGGCCGCCCTGCGGAGAAAGCTCATTTCGGCCGCCTGTATCCGGGATCCTACACTACACAGCAGAAAAATATAATGGTGAAATGTGGCTTTACAGTAATTTATTGCAGAACATTTATCTAAAGTATATTTTTTTAGTATATTACTTGTGTGGTGTGGAAGAGAATTATTTATGTAGAGATACTGCTTGCAAACCAATGATGTAAGATGATGTCATGGGGTAGGACTGGATAAGTCTGACTTCTTCCTACTCCATTCAAGCATGTATTAGGTATAAGCAAATTGATATTGGATTAGCATTTGTTGGATATGTGTAAAATTATGTGTGTTGACATATCAACTGTCTTTACATGCTTGAAAGAATAAATCAAATCAAATCACATCTCCCGTTCCATCCTTCCCTCACTCGTGAACAAGACCCCAATTCTCGCAATTTCCAAATAGTGGTTATTTCATCCTACAAAAAAAAAATCCCAAGTAATGATCTTGAAAGCTGTACTTTAAGTAAAAATTGACCAGGTTTACCATGTGATACTGCTACAGTGAATGAAGCAGTGTGTGTACTACTACAACATTTACTGTGTGTACTACTACAAAATTTAAGCTATATTCAGCAGAGCCTGATTGATTTTGGTTTTACAATGAGGAATACTGTAAGCTGATTATTTGAATGACTTTTCAACCAGATAATAAACACAGCAAGCAGCAGGAAGAAGTGGAGTAATGTGACTATAAATTGCCATGTCTAATAACAAAATCTAGACGTATTCAGGGAAGATTTAGGCTGATGTGAGATCAGGAAAGCTGCATGAACACAAGTATTTAATGACCCAGTGTGCTCCCAGTGACACACACAAAAAAAATCTTGTGACTGCAAATAGGCTATCTCATTCCATTACCCCAATCACTGCATCTAATCATGCAACAACACAACTACGATCAGAGTTTCTGCTTCAAATAAAGTGCTTTTCCAAGTTGTTATGAAAGATTTTCACCAGGGCAGGATTTGCACAAGATTGTTTCCAACAGTAAAACAGCAGCAAGGTCTTTAATTCAGAGATGGGCTGCACTGAAAATTAAACCATACTAAGAGAGAAAAATTAAGTTTTAAAAATTAAATTGGTATAGATCTTGTTCTTGTTACAGTGCCTGCTCATTATAGTCTGACCTAGGCACGCCAAATCACAAGCCACTCTTTACTGACCTACAATGTAAAGTATGGCAGTACAAAGTGATGAATTACTGAAATAACAAATGTTTGTCTTTCTAGAAAACTACAGTACAATGGATATTTACATCTGTTTTTGAACTTTTTTTTACTTACCTATTACAAAGATTTCATAGTTTTAGTATAATTGTACTGTAGCACCTAACAGTCAATGTTCTTTATACAGTGCCTTGCGAAAGTATTCGGCCCCCTTAAACTTTGCGACCTTTTGCCACATTTCAGGCTTCAAACATAAAGATATAAAACTGTAAGTTGTTGTGAAGAA